CTCAAGATTGTTAAACTCGAGGTTATGAACTTGGTGCACCTCCAAGCAAGAACGTATGTAAACGGCTAATCCACCCCCAATTCCTAATTTTCTATCGTTGCGGAAAAATGACATCCCAGGTAATGCTAACTCATGGTCCGAAAACTGAGAAGATATCCAGGTTTCAGATATTCCTATCAGATGGGCCTTGTTAGCGTTGCTAAGTTCACGTAATTCGTCCAATTTGTTTGGTAGACACGCGGCGTTCATATATAAGCAGTTTATGCTTTCAATTTCGAACGCGTGAGCCTCGTCCTGTTTGTCTGTATGAGCCTTACGTGAACGGACAAGTAGCCCACCTATACGAGGTTTGCCGTGGTGGTAGGCCCTGTCCTTTACACGTTTTTTTATCATCTAGACAGTCCACAAGTGGAATGGTCAGCTCCAACTTGCCTTTGTGTTTGGTCCTAGATTCGTATGGCCTATCCGGGTGCATGTGGATTCCGGCTTGGAAGGATCACCATCCTTCTTGGCTAGTCTCGTCACATGCTGAGTCAGTATGTTTTTGAGCCTCAAGGACTGTCTGATGAATTCCCATCCCCTGATTTCAGTATTTGATTGATTAGGGTCCGTATTTTCCGGTATACCTTGCACGATTATATTCCTCGCGCGGAAAAACTGATCGCGATATTCTATAGAGATGTTCCGGATGAGATTGTCCATTAACTCTTGTCGACGTTGCTCATGATGACGTATAAGATCTTGATGTTCAATTTGAACATCACCTAAAGCTATTCGTTCTTCTTCTAAGCACAATCGTGATCTGTAATGTACAAAAAAGTCAAAACACGTGCTAAACAACTTATGTTTATTTGACAAAGGACATAGCCTTTTGTAACAGTTTGATCTTGCCTGTAAACTGGCATGCCTCATGTAACAAATTGTTATTTGACAATAAATTATTATTGTGATTTTCGTAGAATTAATTAGATCAAACTCTTTGTACGCCGTTACTTTTGAATGTCTATTTTCCCAATTTTCTCGTGTTCAGCTTTGAGGATTGTGTTAGTAAGGCGCATTACATCGCCATTACAGTTATTCAATTAGGATAACCGTTGTGTGCACGACACGTTTGTGGAATTATTGAGATACTTGAGCAGAGTTATGAAACGACTCCTGCTCTTTTAACTAAGATCAGTAGACATTAGTCTATCTTTGATTATCAAATTACATGACATCCTCACCACATGACCGGAAGCTGCCAAACTGAAAGTGCATGTGTCTGATCCATTCATGATGAAACGCTGCATGAATTAAGGTCGGGACGACTAATGAGGCTTGCGTTCTTTTGCCCAGTCATTTGTATTATGACTGAGCTAAACAAATTTTGTACGACCTATTTGGTGAAAAAAATCTTGTTGCTCTCGGACTAATCACTGAGTTACTCAATCAGAAATATGTTGAAGGATCGGCAGATAACTAGACTGATTTTGTGATTAGACTACGTAATTTATGTATAACATTGAAGGAAATGGGATGTATGTCCGGTGTATATTCTACGGTCAATCTTTAAATAATAGTGTCATGTCCACCACCAGATTTACAGAATGAGTGGATGTACATCACCGACAAGCAGCCGAGTTTCGAGGAATTGGTGGTCATTGCGGAAGAAAGAGCCAGGATTGCTCGGAAATGCTATGGCAGTTAGGTACAATGTAATTCAAGTTCGGTAAAAGAAGTTATGGAGGCTGTAGAATTATGGTCTACTATGATATTAGTACTGCTCTTATAATAGACCTAATCCTAAATTTGTAGATTTGTCATGATATATATATCATCTTATAGATTAGGCAGTTATAACTGCCTAATCTATAAGATCTTACGTGGAAGTCACACCATTGACTACACCAACTCACTGTACCGTATCAATTACCGATACATGATGTAGAACAAGGTTAGGCTAGAGAAGGAACAATAAATTTAATATGAATAGAAGATATAAGGTAACATTCAGCAGAGACCACGCCTGCATGGTCGAGCCATGCCATCCGATCAACTCCAATTCATTCAATTATCTGTTCCCGCCTTTTCCATCGTTAGGTATTTCTCCGCGTTAAATATTGAATATCTATTTTCCGAGTAGTGTTGTGTTCAGCTTTGAAGATTGTGTGGTTATGGTTCAATGCCACTACAAGGTCAAGTTGATAAGAGGATACATCTCAATGTAGTTACGCATGATCCATGCAACTCAGCCAAGGTTGTAAGTTGCGATTCTTGCTTAGGTGATCACAAGGTGGTGTAGAACTAGGATCTAATATGACATTAGTACTGCTCGAATAATAGACCTAATTTCAGATTGCAGATTTGTCATGATGTAGCTGCCCAATCTATAAGATCTTACGTGGAAGTCACATCATTGTCTACACTGACTCACCGTACCGTAACAATTACAAAAAAAATGGAGAACACATTCAGGCTGGAGATAGAACAATGTATTTAATATGAATAAAAGTAAGTTGTACAGAACGATCACGCCTGAGAGGCTGAGCATTACCGTCCGATCAATTCGAATCAACTGAATTAATTGTCCTTGCTTTCTCCGTCGTTGAGTTTTTCTTCGCGTTAATTGTTGAACATCTATTTTCCAAAGTGCCCTGTGTCCGGTTTGAGGATTGTGTGGTTAGGTTACGATGCCACTACACCAGCGGTTCAGTAGGTTAAGCATTCGCTCGCGAGACTGAAGGCCCTGGGTTCGAACCCCGCGGGTGGGATAGTGAATGAGAACTTCTGAAGAGTCCCAAAACAGGACGAAACGGCCATCCACTGCTTCCAGGTTTGACTGATTGGTCGGTCGACGCGGATGGATCGATCGAAGATGAATGGAATAAGTTTAAGGCTACAGTCAAGTCCGTAACGTCACCGTTTATCCCATGGTCAGCACGTAAGCTATCACACTGCCCTCCATGGATTAATAAAGAAACCCGGAAGCTGTTAAAGCGTAGGAAACACTTCTGGGACTTGTTCTTGTTGACAGGTCATGTATCATTTAAGCGTGAGTACCAAAAATTCTGTAATATCTGTAAGAAAACCAGAGCCAAATCCCGTACTCCTTACGAACGACAGTTAGTATATGATAGCCGTGCTTGTCCGAAACGATTGTTTTCGCATGTTAAACGGCAAATGAAACGTAGTGATGGTATTACCCCGTTACTGTTACACGAAAATTGAGAATTACTAGCTGAATCAGATCGAGCAAAAGCTAAGACTTTTTCAAACTATTTTAGTGAAGTCTGCTCTACGTTTATTGTAACAAATACTTGTCCCACTCACACCGAGATACCAACCATTGAATCTGTACAGGTGACTGAGGAAACTGTCCTTCCGTTGATAACTAACCTCAAACCTGGTAAGATACCGGGCCCTGACGGGTTACATCCACGGTTGCTATCATCTCTTGCGGACATTATTTCAAAACCGCTTGCGACACTTCAACATGTCCCTTTCACTCGCTCAACTCCCTAGAGACTGGAAGGACACTATAGTCAGTCCTATATTTAAGGATGGTCAGAGACAGATAGTATCTAACTACCGGCCTGTCAGGCTAACTAGCATAGTCGTTAAGTTACTTGAAAAGGTAATTCGGGTTAGGTTGCTAAGCCACATAGATTCACACAATCTGTTAGCTCCCGAGCAACATGGATTTCGTAACAAGCGTTCATGCTTGACTAACTTACTTATTGCGAGAGAGGATTGAATAGCAGCCTCAGATAAAGGCCTGTCTGTCGATGTGATATTCATAGACTTTAGCAAAGCATTTGATAAGGTTTCACACGTAGGTCTTATGCAGAAGCTCACGAGCTTCGGAATAATAGGCACTGTACATGAGTGGATAGGAAACTTCTTATGTGGCCGCAAACAGAGAGTCAGGGCCAACGGAACGCCATCCGACTGGGAGCCGGTCAAAAGTGGTGTACCCCAAGGCACCATCTTAGGCCCTCTGCTCTTCCTTCTCTACGTTAATGAGTTACCGTTGTTGCTTAGGTCGTCGACATTATTGTTTGCAGATGATGTAAAAATCCGGAGAACAATAAAAAGTGGGGTTGATTATCTGGATCTTCAAGCTGACTTGGACGGTTTAGTTAGATGGGCTCGAGGTTAGAGGTTAGAAATCAATGATAGGAAGAGTGTGCTAATGCACATCGGTCACGGTAATAGTTACCATTATACTATTGATGGTAAACCTCTTCCATGAGTTCAAGAGAATAAAGATTTAGGAGCAGCAATCGGTCATGACTTAAAAACAACTACGCATCGCAGAGCAGACGCTGTCTAAGGTTTTCGTGCGTTATGGTCACTTCGCCGAGCGTTCAAGTCTTTTGACGAGGAAATGTTTCGAACTTTATATCCCACCTATGTAAGACCACACTTAGAGTACTGTATCCTAGCAGCTAGCCCATGTCTGGTAAAGGATACTAACTCCCTTGAGCGTGTCTAGCATGTGGGAACAAAATTAGCGAAGAATCTTTCTAAACTCCCTTACGATGAGCATTTAAAACGTCTAAATCTTTTCCCTTGTCGTATCGTAGAACACGAGGTGACATTATGCAGGCATTTTGTATCTTTAATTGTGATTTGGGTGTTAATATGTCTTATCTTTTTGCTCCCTCCAGCACTAATAATCTCCGAGCTCAAAGCAAGAAGGTTCATAAACCACGATCTAATAAACTTAAAGTGGGGTCCCGTTTTTCTCATCGAGTAGTCAATCATTGGAATGCCTTACTCGAACAAGTGGTATCAGCCCCATCAGTGAATATTTTCAAGGAGAAACTGGGGCTTCACTGAAAGGCAATCTGTCAGGATTAACACAGGTTCACCAACCTACTATCCTTATTACTGAAGACTGAAAATGTCGATTTTTCAGATATGAAATGAGTCATTAAATTATATTATCATTTTGTGCTTCCTTCAAGTGTATAAAGAAAATAATGACCACCCTACTTCTATGTAATCCCTTACCCAGACAGAAGTCCACGTGATAATCCTCGTCCTTGAGGGAGTAGCTATTGGACTGAGGGTCAAATTCAATTATGTCCGAAACATAAGGTAACGTGCTCTTCTTCTTCTAGTAGCCATATTCTGTATCAAAATAAAGCGCTTTATATTGCTAGTGGATTACTAGCTGTTTCTTCAGGTTATTCAAGGATGTTTCACCACTTAAATGACACTTCGCTGTTGATTCCATTCTTCACGATGGCAATGAAAAATCAAATGTAGTCTGATATCTATTGGAAATAGCCAAGTTTCTGCTGTCGATATTATTGAGATTTTGGTTTTGAAGCTGTTGGTTCCGCGTATTCGGGCTTACTGATTGACAATGTATTTGTAATGGTTGCTTCTAAGTTTAGTATATTGTTCTAAGTAGTGTTTGATTTCTCGGCTCTCCCCACATTTAAAAAGAAACTCTTTCAAATATTTGGCCAGCTTTTGAAAAGCAAACTTATATTGGCTTCCACTGCGTGATAATCTAGTCCATACCAGGCTGATAGTATCAAGATTCATACGACGGTTCTGTAATGTGTTTCTGTTTGACTGTCATTGTTTATGTGTACTCACTATTTCATTGTCGATATGTTCACCATCGTTTTTGTCTGACTTACTTATCCTTCGATCTGTAAGGAAATGATGACTTCTCGGTTTAATGTTCACCAAGTACTTGTGCTCATTATTGGATAAACATTTATGCAGTTTGCTGATTCATAAAAATGAACTATTAGCTTCATAGTATTGATATGTCTTGCATAGATTCTTGAGGCATATTTTCACTGGGTGAAACAAATATTCATTTGGAAATTTACTTATAAACTACTGGTATTTACTTATTTAAACACATTGGTGCAGGGATGCAATAAATAGATATGCGCCACATAAATCATTCGATTTGTGCGAGGGATGGGATGCTGCCCGGGTACCCAAGTACCAAAGTAGATGGTTTTCTTAGAGGGTCACGCTCCGAGCCTTTGACCTACAGGTCTAATCCACAAGGCAGTAGAACAACGTAAGGAGTCGCAGTCCCATGGTAACCGGTGACCAACAATTGGTTCATACGCCATTTGTTTCTTTAGGATCCTGGAGCCCAGGTTCACCATTGGTTTGGAATCGGTTTTCCAACTCCCCTAGGTGTGTCCTCCGTATCCACCGACCCGGTTAAATCCCTGGACAGTTTCAGTTTGGAAAGGACATGTTTGATGGCCTGTGTTAGTCTTGGCAATAGTGGTCTCTCAGTTGATCCAACTTTCTTTTGAAAGTGTGGACGGATGGAGCCTCAACCACGTGCTGAGGTAATGAATTCCACTCGTTGATGATTCGATGGGAAAGTCGATAGTCAGCTGACAAGTAATTTGTTCTGGGCTTGTGAACATTTTGGAGTGTCCTTGTAAATTTTCTGTTTTGGAAGACAAGAAAAATGAGGGCATATCATGTGCAAATTTGGTACTAAGCAATTTGAAAACTGTAATCAAGTCGCCTCTAGTTCTACGATATGACAACGGGAATAGGTTTACCTTGGTCAGTCGAGCCCCCAAATGCCCTGGTATGGCTGAGAGCGGAGTGGGTTCTCCCTCCCTCTCGAAATACTCTCGTACGGCCACGCGTATACAGCCTCTGCCAGGGAAGTCCTACTCACTGCCTTCTCGTGGCGGGGGTGTTCTTTACGAAAATGAGAGGACGAAAAGCGAATGTCCGGCGCTTTAACCGGATCCCAAACCAATGGTGCACATGGGCTCCAGTATCCTTCGGGAACAAATGGCGTATGAACCAATTCCTTGGTCACCGGCTACCATGGGACTGCATCTCCTCACGATGCTCCACTGCCTTGTGGGCTAGACTTTTAGGTCAAAGGCTCGGGGTATGGCCCCCTAAGATAACCACCTTCTTCGGTCTATGCGCCTGGGCAGTATCACAACCCACACACAAATGATGAACTGCCTATGATTATGGTCAGTCGAGCATCACACGGAAGCTTCGCTATTCCGGGAATCAGCTTAGTTGCTGTTCTCTGAACCTTTTCCAAAAGCTCACTGTCGTTTTTTAAGCAAGGGCTAGCCGCTTGTATACAGTACTCAAGTTTAGGACGTACAAACACTGTATACAAAGTCAAAAACGTTTTAGCGCCGACATGACTAAAAGCCCTACGTATTGACCATAAGGTTCTAAAACATTTGGCGGCTATTGCACGGCAGTGTGTAGTAGTTTTTAAGTCTTGGCTAACGATGACTCCTAAGTCATTATGTGTCTCGAAAATAGGTAGCTCAGTGTTATTCATCGTGTATGTACCTGTACCTTGATGACCGATATGCATCACAACACACTTGGAAGTATTTATCGGCAACTGCCATGTTTGAGACCATTCAGATAACTTCTTCAGGTCATTTTGAAGTTCTAAGCTATCACTCTTACATCGTATCGTTCTCCATATCTTGACATCGTCAGCATATAGCAAGACTGATGATGATGATAGGAGACAAGGAAGGTCATTTACATACAAGAGGGTAGCACTGGCCCCAAAACTGTACCCTGGGGCACTCCATTAAGCACAGTTTCCTAGCTAGATAACTTTGAGTTTACCTGTGCTCTTTGTTGGCGCCCAACTAGGAAGTGTTTTATACACATCAATAGAATGCCTCCAATTCCGACATTTATTAGCTTATATAACAGCAGGTTATGCGGAACTTTGTCAAAAGCTTTGCTGAAATCAATGTAGGCTACGTCTGCAGGTAACTTTTGGTCCTTAAGAGCGCACCAGCTTTCACGAGCGACTAATAAGTTAGTGAGACAAGAATAACCTATTCTGAAGCCGTGCTGCTTCTCCAAGAGGATCCGGTTTTTATCGAGATACTTAAACAGCACCTTCCGAATAATCTTTTCTAAGATTTTAACAACCACACTAGTTAGGCTAACGGGGAGGTAGTTCTCAGGTTTGTGTTTCGTACCTATTTTGAAGACAAGACTTACTATGGCGTTTTTCCAGTCTTTTGGTAAACGACCCTGCGTTACGGATAGGTTAAAGCTTGTACTTAAAGGGCTTGCAACGAAGTTAGATAATTCTCCGTGGATTTACCTATGTCAAGCTTATTTAGCAGACCAAAGACATCGAGTTCTTTAATGGTCACGCTATCTAGTGTATATGTGGGGGGATTTGTATGCGCTGACGGGAAGGATGCTTCTATGGTATTTACATTGCTGAAGTAGTTTGGGAACACTTGAGCCTTACCAAAGTCATCTTCCACTAATGATGCGGTAGTACTGTCTCCCCATAGTGCAGGAATATTTCCCCTCCTTTTTGTCCTTTGGTTTATATAGGAATACAAGCGTTTAGGACATTCCACGGATTCCTTAACAATTTTTTTCTTCGTACAACTTTCTAGACTTACGGAGGGTCGAGGCACAGGTATTCCGAGCTTTTCGAAACTGTGATTTTGTCTCATCAGTCCCCACTAACCTAAATCTATCACACATTTTTCTTCTCTTACGGAGAAGGATGCGGACTTCCTTACTGAACCGTGGTGGAAAGTTTCTCGGCCCCCTTGGTATAGTCCAAGGGATGTGGGGTGCGGTAACTTCTAAATATAAATTTCGAAATGCGTCCTATTCGCTTTTCGTTCTCTCGATTTCGTGAAAATGATGCCCCCCCCGCGAAAAGGCGGTGGGTAGGACTCCCTTGGCAGTTGTTATTCACGTGGCCATGTGAGCGCATTTCGAGAGTGAGGGCCGACTCACCACTATCAGCTGTACAAGGGCATTTGGGGGTAAACTACTTGTACATTTATCATAGTGTAATGTAGATCATTTGTTCCCTTCTGATTTTCAATCTCTTTAGCAAATTCAGCACTCTATATTTGATGATCAAATTATACTGAGAAAAATATTAGCTAGGTTACCAGATCACTTGCTTTGTTCTATTTGTCTGTAAGTTCCTGTCGCGCTGCGTTCTAAACTTTTTGCTCGGGGGTTCAGAAGTAATGAACTTGTTCGCCCATGTTCTGATGGTTACGACTCGCCATTTTTTGTGATTTGTCTTCATTTTGCGTGTTTACGGAAAGTTTTGTTTCCTGATCGCTTCTAATATTTCATCTAACAATTGTCATCTTCCCATTTTCATTCTTTTAAATTTTCGACTTAGATAACCAAATCTATGGCTGAGAACAACAAAACATATTATCTTCACAATGATTGTGTTTCTGAAATCAAGAAAATATTTTCAGATGTCCCCTTGTCAGAGTTGGATGACGATGCACTAGTCAATAATTTGTTGGAACGGTATGCTCCCATATTATTTGAACTTTGCATCCAGATCTGTTTCCGTCTTACAAGTGATCGACCATGCCATGTTCCATTTTGTTGCTGTAAATTTTATCGGCGGATCGGTTGACGAGTCTTATGAGCTTGATGGATGTTGCCAGTTGGCATTGGAAGATCTGTGCTGTGAAGGCGAATATCCTTTCAAACTTACTAAGTCACTTACTTTGCTTTGGTTGTGTAAGCGGTTGTGTAGGACAATGTGCACGGTTTCTCAAACTCTTGTATGTTAGGTGTCTTCTCCAACCATGTTTTTATTTCAGTCATTCCTGTATCATTTGAATTATTTAAAATGCATTTATTTACATCAATACCTGATTGGTGATGAAAGGTCACCCAAACTAAAAAGTGAATTCCAAGATATTATCGACGTGTGTACGTAATTTGGATATCTAATGAGGTCACTTACTAGGTGAGGAATGTCTTGATTCAACCCACACTACTGAGGACGTAATTCAATACTTGATGTTATCATCATATCTGAGTGCTTTTTATTATGAATATGAGGCTTCGAAAACATTCGCTTCAAGATGTGCTCAGTATTTAAATATTGACGTAAAATTTTGTGGTAAACGTATCACTCATATATTTCACAAAATCAACAGGTGTCCTTGGTAAATGTACCAGATTCCAGGAAAAGGAGGTAGCAAATCTCACAGTTAAAGTTAACAGAGTAGTTGAAAGTAAAGACAACAAAACTTCAGGTAACTCCCCATTACCGCAGGTAATTGTATTTTACATTATTATATATTTTCTTAAGATAATTCCTCTTAGTGACGATGTACTTCTCAACAGTGTGGTATTTAGTACAATGGAGGAACAAAGTATTCTCTCTAATACTGAGCAGTCTTTCATTTTATTATTATGGTAAGGTGGTTTTATAACTTGTATGTAAATCTGGCTAGTGAACTTCATCGTCGTCATTATCCACGAGATGATTTAACAGAACAGCAGTGTTTAGCTTACATCAATACAGTTATCCGGGCTGTTTACCCGGATTCTGAAAATGAAATCAAAAGTAGTTCTTCTTGGCCTATTGCGACAGAAACGTTGTTTAGAAGAAGTTTACTGGAACATAATTCTGTTAGAAAAACTGAGCGTGCATTATCTCAGTTAGAGGTAAGAATTCCATTGTATATTCGACCAGAATGTTTTGATTTACTTATTTTAGGAGTTAAGCTGTCAGTTTAAAAGAACTAGCCCATCGTTTTCTGAGAGATCTCCCAGTAGCTTCTTTCTTTCCAGAATGCCGTCTATTTGGACTCTCCAAGTAAGCACTTAACTGTATCTACTTCATTTAAATTTTTTTCACGCATACAAAGGCAGCTTGTATAGATTTATAGGAATCGATCTCAAAAGTTTTAAATTGTTTTTATTTAACGAGTTACGACAATAATTGACTAAATTTTTATGCTTGACTGAAAGGATGTATGGGCTAAACTGTAATGATTGTTGAGGTAAGTAATATTAACACTATCACGCTTATGTTTTTATTTGTATACGGCATATGATATTTTAGCTAGTGCGTAGTTTGTCTTAGACATGCTTTTATCAACGTGGCTGCAAACGATTTTTTAGCTTAAAAGTATTTACAATCTCTTTTAATATTATTAGCTGTCTCTGCTCTGCAGTCATGCTATTTATTTTATGATTGCATTTTGTACTACAAAACGGCGAGATATGATTTTTCAAGATGTTGAGAGACTTTATTTTCAAGATTTATGTTATATAACTACTTTGATCATTTTGCGTAAATGTTATGTCCAGTCGCTTGTCTTTTACGTAATTAGCCTTTATATATTCTATTACTTAGGACAAAAATTGTCGTACTGATTAATTAAGTTGGGTTGTTCAAATATCTTGGAACCAATACTTAGACACGACATCGAAAATTATTTGATGGTAGTTTAATACTTTTTGCGTAGTCGTTTTTTGGAATTGCTGAGTTACTTTGACTTTAGATGAAAGAGAAGTTGTAGTTGAACTATAATTGTTTTTCATATATCCCAAATTCATTAAATTATGATTCATAAAAAATGATGTAACTTTATCATGATGGCTTGAGATTCAAACACTTCCTGAGGTATGAAATTCTTACAAAACGGAAGTTTAAGGCTTCATATTGAGTTTTTCAAACTGTTCGTTCATGAAATGATTTACAAAATTGTAGAAAAGCCCAATTTGTTTGTTTTTAACGAATCACTTTATAACAAGTTATATTATTATGTTATTGGTCTATGTATCTACTACATTTTGAATGAACTAGTATTTACCTACTTACGTCTGTTACTCCTCGTAGAGGAGCATAGTCTATCCATCATCATTCTCCATCCAACTCTGTCCTGGCAATCCTTTCCAGTTGCTACTAGTCCTTTTAATATCTGCTTCCAATTCTCGGTGCAGTGTGTTTTTTGTTCTTCTTTCCCGTTTCCTTTCAGGATTCCGAAATAGCGCTTACCTGGTGATTTAGTTTGATTTCCGCAATGTATGTCCTATCCTCTCTCAACGTCTTTTCCTAATTTCCTCTTCAGATGAAAGCTGGTTTGTTCTCTCTCATAGTAGGTTGTTGATGATAGTATCTGACCAACAGAAGTTGTGTATCTTGAGTAGACAATCGTTTATAAATACTTGTACACTTTTGATGATGAGTGTAGTAGTTATCCAAGTTTCACTGTCTTGATGTTCTTATTGAGAATTCTGACTTTGATATTGGTTGACAGTCGTTTTGAGTCCCGTATATTGCTCAGCTGTAGGAATGCTGTCCTTGCCTTGCCAATCCTCGCCTTCACATCTGTATCTGATTCTCCTTGTTCATGGATGATGTTGTCCAGGTACGTGAGAGTTTCCACCTCTTCCAGAGTTTCTCCATCAAGTGTGATTGGATTAGTATTCTCTGTGTTGTATTTGCAGTGTAGTCCGTAGTATGAATCCCTGATGATATTGAAGATTTTCTCAGATACAACATAGTGTCAAAAAAGTTTCCATGAAGTCATCCTATCCACACTGTAGAATGCTTTTTCATAGTCAATGAAGTCGATGTAAAGTGACGAGTTCCACTCAACTGATTGTTCAATCCGGCCAAACAAACTAGTAGCAGTTATTAGGATGTGGGATATTCCTTAATCCCTTAATTAAATTTCTCTTTTCATCCAGGTTGAGCAAGGTCGACTACTTATGAAAATAGGATGTTACAAAAGTGCTCTGGACATTTTTCTGTTATGGGACAAGTGGTCTGAAATAATCGAATGCTATATCCACCTAAATAAGAGAGAAAAAGTATGTTCTATTTTTTTCACTGAAGGCTTCTGTGTATTACTTATCCGCTTTTTAAGATGATACTATATATTGGATAAGATCACTACCTTTGTGTATATTCTATGTTATAACTCGATCGGTTATCACAATCAATGACTTTAAATTATCTCATAACACAGTCAGTCAGTCACAACGTAGAACTTCGTACGTAAGTACATCAGTTCGAGTTGCCATACCGCATTAGCACACAAATACAATTGTCGATTTCAATCGCGTAGTGGTAGAGGTAGTAAGAGCACAAGCAGTAATCGGAAAGATTAGGGTTTGAAGATGTTATTCAAGGAGTATAATCCAGTGAAATAAATTTTGAGAGAAAATAAGGGACATGAAGAATCCAGAAGATTAGAATTTGAGAGAGCACAAAGAGTGGATGCACCTGAGCCATTGCAAACGATTTTGAGCCATATCATTCAGGGTCACCAGTCATCGGTTGCTATCATCTCGCGGTCCCCAACCAGGTAGTCTATACCTACCGACATGACTCAGACCACTTGTCAGTGACTTTATGGACTTGTGCCATGTTTTGGTCTGGCCGCCTCTAGCTTTCTTCCAACCTACTCCTATACCACTGAACATAGCACGTCGAGGCAGTCGGTGGTTGGGCATACGTAACATGTGTCCCAGCCATCTCAACTGATGAAGTTTCATTACGTCATCAATTGATTTGCCATCCTTACCTAGTACTCGTTTCCTAACAACTACATTACTTACTCGATGGTCCCATGATATACGAGCAATGTTTCGAAGACACCTATGATCGAATACTAGTAACCTACGAATATCCTCTACTCTTACCGATCATGTTTCACTGCCATAAAGTAGGACGGAACGAACTGCTGCGCAGTAAACACGTCCTTTGGTTGATAGACGGATATCTCGCCTACGCCATAAATGATGCAAGTTGGCAAAAGCTAGTCGAGCCTTCTGTATCCGTGCTGAGATTTCGTCACACACCAGACCACAAGGGCTGATGAGACTTTCAAGATAAGTGAAGCGGTCGACACACTCAACTACTTCACTCCCTATCACTAGTTCGGGTGTCGATGTAACCCTATCCTGAAGTAACATTTTGCATTTCGAGGGAGAGAATCGCATGCCGAACATGCTTGCATTGTTGCTTAGAGTGGTCAGAAGACTCTGGATTTTGTCTGCGTCTTCGCCAAATAAAACTATGTCATCTGCATATTCTAAGTCAACAAGTGAACTTCATGGTAGGAGTTCAACCCCTGGAAATTTAGATGAGGAGAGTGTTATCTCTAAAAGTACGTCGACCACAAAGTTGAACAAGAATGGGGAGAATGGGCAGCCCTGACGAACACCCCTTGAGGTAACCAATTTTGATGACAGTTCGCCATAAGCTCTCACTCTACCAGTTGTGTTAGAGTAGAGAGCCTTTATAAGGTTAATGTACTTCTTTGGTACTCCTTTCAGTGACAAACACTGCCATAGAACCTTACGATCAACAGAGTCGAATGCCGCCTTAAGGTCGAGAAATAATCGCGATCATTGCGTATGCTTCTTTTCAGCTTGTGCTTAAGCTGACTCCGCTCTTCATTATGTTCAGAGCCAGGTGGAATGAGTTTCCGAGCATCTATCAGTGCGATAGATGCTGTTGAGATCCAGTGTTGCTCCCTAACCTTCTGGTTTACCTTACTAGCAGATATCACTGTTGTTTCCACAGCTTTTCGGATATCATTCCATGCTGCATCGGGGTGGGCATCACATACATGGCTGCCTAACTGTTTTCCTAGTTGTTCCTGAAATATACTCTTAGCTTGACTATCATTAAGTAGGCCCCTAAGAGGTTTCCTTGCAGCGTCTTTCCTACGTCCAGTAAAACGCAAGCAAATACGCGCTCGCACTAGAGCATGATCTGAATCTAGGCATGTGCTCCAGAATGAGCGACAGTCTTCTATCGAGCCCCTCCATCGGTGGCTGATAGCGATGTGATCTATTTGGGTCCAACGTTGGGACGAATTAGGGGGTCGCCATGTTCAAAGATGTTTTTACTTATGCTTAAAGTTAGTATTTGCAAGAAAGAGGCGGTTATCTGAGCATAGCTGCAACAGGCGGTCGCCATCATCTGTTCTTTGAGCCACGATGTTATAAGATCCACCAAGGTGTCTTTCTCTATCGCTTAGTTTACCTACTTGAGCATTAAAGTCACCAGCCACCATTACTACATCCGAGCGCCTAGCTTTTCGGAGAAGGTTGGAGAGCTTTCTGTAAAACTCATCTTTTACATCATCCGAGCTGCAGTCAGTGGGAGAATAGGCAGAGACGACGGAGAGGCAACGACGAGTGTCCTTATCTTTCCGAGTCTTTACTGTTCCGTTTAGTCGGACAGAGCACAAACGACTGTCTACTGGGATCCAGTCTAAGAGAGCTAGTTCTGCCCTAGGACTCAATGCTATACCTACGCCGGCGAGGCCACGGGAAGCAGAATCTGGGCTTCCAGATACACGAAGTGTGAATCGAGTCGGTTCTTTATTTTGGCATGGTGAGGTCAAATGAATGACGCTACTCGGATCCTGTATACGTGTTTCGGAGACGCAGCACACATCGATGGCGCGAGATTCTAAAGTCCTAGCTAAGGAAGCTTGTTGTCCTATTTGGCACAGTGTTCGGACGTTGAAAGCTCCTACGTGTAGTTTAGAGCGTGGTTTCAGGAGACCAGGAATAACGTTCCGCGTACTCGAATCGTTCGCCCTAGCGGTGCGATGTGATAAACGGACGTGAGAAGGGTTAGTCGGGGAGATAAGAGAGGTATTAGGAGGTGTAGGAAGGACTTGAATGTGACCAACTTGGTCTCGTGTGCTGTTACGGGTATGAGGGCTGATGTCACTTCCCCGCTGCCCACACCGTGGAAGGGTATTCCTTGAGGAACCTGAAAAGGAAATAGGATTAGTGTTGGTCTTAACGACCTGGGAGCATGATCGCAGAGCCCAAGGGACAAATGCTTGAGGCCGGTCGCGCACGGCCTTTTTGTGGAAGGCTTTTAATATGTTAGCTCTGTTCTTCAAAGGGTCTTACTGCCGGAGACGGGAATCCGTGAGGTAAGGTGAGGTGTGACATTTTGAGGGTCGACCTTTTCTAACCCCACCCCTCCTTGTGGGAAGGCAGCATCGCTGCAGATGCTGGTTGTCTGAGGGAAACACCTTACTGCTGTCACACCCCTCTACAGTCAGCAGTACGACTTTGCCCTCAGACCTTGAGTTGTTGCTTTTAGTCTTACCGTTCACCAATCGACCTGCCTGGCATGGTAGAACCTACAGGAACATATGTTCCAGCCAATATAGCTCGGTTGGGTCATCACGATAGGCTCATAACACAAGTAGTGACTGTGTCTTAAGATATCGATACCAACGTCGGACTTGATAATTTCAGATAAATTGCTTACTGTGTAGAATGTTAGTGTTAAAAGAATGGTATTTTTTTATATCCAAATGAGTAGCAGTTCGTGTCACTACTCATTGGGATATCACAAATCTACCATTATTTTACTAATGACTGTGTTTTGTTTCAGAAACATTAGCATTATTAGTTTACAGCAGACTACATGGAGAATGAATGGTAATTTAATACTGAAATGAACACAAATGAATTCAAAGTATTCTGACTGCAGCTTTTCGTGATTTCTACTTTGTGGAATATTTTAAAACCTGAGCTCATTCAGTCATCAAAAATGAAGCTCAGTTAAAAGTGTTTAACAATATCATCACTCCATAGTAGAATATTGCGTTTATGTATTATTTAAATGTACATATAGTCCGAAATAACGTTTTCCTTCCAAAATTGACTTCCCAAACTATAGGCGTTTTGCTCATGAAGTAGGTTAATTTGAGATTTTCTGTATCGGTAAACAAATAGTGCACCTGTATATTAGGATCTTCGATATATATATATATATATATATATATATATATATATATACGTATTCTTTCAATGGTTGAGTCAGTTTTAGCTAGACAACCATGGAAAACCTGGGAGCACTGGACGGTCGTTTCATCTTATTGTGGGACTCCTCAGCGGCGTTCATCCACGATCCCGCTCCGCGAGATTCGGACCCAGGACCTATCAGCCTCTCGCGCGAGAGCGCCGGCTCAGTGGTCTAGTGGTTAAACGCTTTAATTGACTCATGATCTCAACCATTGAAATTACTGCAATATCCACAAAAACCCTTCTCATATTCATATTCGTTGGTTGTAAACGAAATGAACAGACTAAACAAAAATTACGGTTGCTATAAGACTTAAACTATTTAACATCACTTTGTCCTTTTTTATTTCCGGTCATGAATGCTGAAGAGATCTGTAAGACACTCTTTTCAGCCTTGTAGCTCAGTGTCAGGAGTATGAATAAATACATAATCTCTTATGATCTATCATATTATTTTTTTTATTTAAACACATAAACATTGGTGCAGGGATGCAATAAATAGATATGCGCCACATAAATCATTCGATTTGTGCGAGGGATGGGATGCTGCCCGGGTACCCAAGTACCAAAGTAGATGGTTTTCTTAGAGGGTCACGCTCCGAGCCTTTGACCTACAGGTCTAATCCACAAGGCAGTAGAACAACGTAAGGAGTCGCAGTCCCATGGTAACCGGTGACCAACAATTGGTTCATACGCCATTTGTTTCTTTAGGATCCTGGAGCCCAGGTTCACCATTGGTTTGGAATCGGTTTTCCAACTCCCCTAGGTGTGTCCTCCGTATCCACCAACCCGGTTAAGTCGCCGTACATTCGCTTTTCGTTCTCTCGATTTCGTGAAAAAGACGCCCCCCCGCGAAAAGGCGGTGGGTAGGACTCCCTTGGCAGTTGTTATTCACGTGGCCATGTGAGCGCATTTCGAGAGTGAGGGCCGACTCACCACTATCAGCTGTACAAGGGCATTTGGGGGTAAACTACTTGTACATTTATCATAGTGTAATGTAGATCATTTGTTCCCTTCTGATTTTCAATCTCTTTAGCAAATTCAGCACTCTATATTTGATGATCAAATTATACTGAGAAAAATATTAGCTAGGTTACCAGATCACTTGCTTTGTTCTATTTGTCTGTAAGTTCCTGTCGCGCTGCGTTCTAAACTTTTTGCTCGGGGGTTCAGAAGTAATGAACTTGTTCGCCCATGTTCTGATGGTTACGACTCGCCATTTTTTGTGATTTGTCTTCATTTTGCGTGTTTACGGAAAGTTTTGTTTCCTGATCGCTTCTAATATTTCATCTAACAATTGTCATCTTCCCATTTTCATTCTTTTAAATTTTCGACTTTTATACTCGAAATCCCCACCCTCAGCCATACTGAGGCATTTGGGAACTATAATTTATCAGGGTTTTCAGTTTTAAAACTAGTGCAACTGAATGGACTAAATATAAATAGTCACTTTGTATAACTTTGTCAGTATTTATGTATGGACATTTAGAATATTATAATACTTCATATAGAAATCATTTGAGAGTGAAATAAATTCATTCCGCAATAATTATAGTAAAACAATTGATCTTTTGGAATTCCAATGATTGTTTTTACTTCAAACTATACACTTGATTGTTGTCATTAATTGAATAAGTATAACTGATATAATTTGTTGTTATTTATGGTTGAGTAGAATAATTATTTTGAGGTTAACATTTCAATTACTGCCACAGTATCATTATATGTAACAATTTCTTTCATGAATTGGGAATGTAAAAATATTTCATTGTATTCGAATATAGTTTTGATGAATCCATTCATGTATAGTACTTAAAAAATTGTTCACTTATTGTTTAATGTTTCTATAGTGAAAACGTCAGTTTTTGTCGTAGTGAAGTTTTATCCACATTTTGTTCCATTTAATTGTAATTTCATGAAACATTTTACTTATTATTTGCTCATTATGTATTTTGTTAACATAATCAGGCAGAAGAAGTGATTCGTTCTCGTCTAAATTCTGGAGATGAATCTGCTGAATTATATTGTTCTCTTGGCGATGTGACAAATGATCGACAACATTATTTAAAGGCTTGGGAAGTATCCGGTTGTAAGTCGGCTCGAGCAATGCGCAGCCTAGCTGTTACATATATGTACACAGATAAAGTTTGTTTGGAATTTTCCATACTATTAAATTAATTTCATTAACTTATGTAGGCCTATCAAAAGGCAATTGAATGTTTTCAAAAATCACTAGAAATTAACACTATGCAAGTGAGTTTATTATAAACCTATCATTTTTTATTTGTTTACTAACTCATTTTATTAGAATGAATTATCGTAAATTAAATGCTCGTAGTTATTTGTGGTAAAAATTCAAATGTATTGACTTGCTTTGATGTATGGTCAACTACTTGTTCAAACTATTCAAAATTTTAATTATCACTAAGGGGTTATGAGGATTCTCGAACCTCATTGAAATCATGAACTGATCTGCCATAATTGGTTGCCAGTTCAATGGTTTGGTGGTTAGGCCTTCGTGCGCGAGCTTAGCTATCTTGAATTTGGTTTCCGAATGTGGGATCACGGATGCGCAGTTCTGAGTAGTGATATATTGGGACGAAACGGCCTTCCAATGCTTCTAGGTTCTCAATGGTTGTCCAGCCTAGATCGTTTCATGTCCTTGATCAAAATTTTAATGTTAACTTTACCTTTAGTATCTGGTTGCTTAACTCTTACGATAATCTGTCAATGTATCTCTACTAGTTCATACTTATTTTACATTAATATTTCTCGAAATTCGATAGACACTGAATTCTTCTCACTTAATACCCTTTTCCTCTAAAGAATTTGCTTTGTTTTTACAAAGTTGGTTTTTATCAAGTCTCTGTATTTTAAGTTTCTCTTCCATATCCATCTTCCAGACTGCATTTCTGTTTATATGAAATGACGCAGGATTTTGAATTTTTGGTAATTAATGACTATTATGACAAACATAGTAATTTTGATTGGAACATATGTTTTTTTTGACAGTCAAGACGGAATCAACTAAAAAAACAGTTCACAAGGAAGATCATTCTACTGCATATGCTTATCGTACTAGCCAAATTGTCAGTTTTGTTGAACAACAAATTACTTAAATATGTACTAAACTACTAACAGTTTATGAGTAGATCAAATTACTTATACTAAGTAATAAATCACTGAACAGTCGGTTTTGCATTTTACCCCTTTGTAGTTTCCACTATGATCCCTATTCTAGAGAGGCCACACGACTATCCAGTTTCTGTTAGTGAATGTTGAGTTCCTATTTATAACGATATCCGCAAAGACTTTATTCTGAATTCAAATTTTCACATGACCTTTGCTCTTTCCTGGTAGGGCTTTGTCACTTTTAGTTTGCCTATATTCTCAGTCTCAAGGTCATGCTTTTGTTACCACATATACGAGGTTACCTACTTTCGTTATGTAATCCTTAAATATCAAGTTTTTTTCTTCGCTGTTGAAAATATTTGTGTATCAATTGTTTGTTTGAGTTCACGTAGATTCTTTAGGTATCAGAATCATCGCAGCTGTTATTGATAGTAACTACAGTAGGTTCGGTCTAAACCCAGTCCTAATCGTTTATCGAGGTTTAACTGTGTTACGTTTGGAGTGATTACGATATCACCCTAACCGGTGTAAAGAACAAAAGTCAGCAACACAAACTATTCACTTCGCCCCAACCCTAATTACTAGAGGGCGAAGGTCAGATTCAGCTGAAGAAAATGCGTATTCCACAAGCAGCTCGATGCACGAACAAACAAGCACGCGACTGATGCGTATATATACAGTACAAAAATGTCCTTGTAAAACGTCGTAAAATAGTGTAGTAAAAGGGGAGACGAACCAATGACGTTTAAAGTCTTCTCAAGTGTGGAGTACAAACGGGAGGTAAAAGCGGTCGCTTTTGGCACGAAAATGAGAAATTCAAATTGAATTCAAGTTAAATTACAAAAACAAGGCATTTACCAAGTGATCTCTGAGGATCTAGCATCCCCAACAAACTGGAGAAAAAAGATTATTCAAATAAACAAATTTTCAGCAATTTCGCTTGCATATCTTTATGTTATAGACATACTTAGGGAAGGAAACTAGTTCACCACTGCCAGTTTGAAAAATGTTTTCTTTTATCAATATTATTTTCTCTACTAATCTGGATATTTTTGATAAAATCATATTACTAATTGAATTACCTAAATATAACCTAATAGTCTAATTTATCATACGAATTTTCATAGGTTAATGTATGGTTTACGTTTGGATGTTGTTGTCTTCAAGCCAAGGATTTTGTAAAAGCTGAAAATGCTTTTCGTTCATGTGTTCGTTTAGATCCAGATGTAAGTTCTACATATTTCTAATTCATCGGATATTGTGTATTATACAGTTTATTTAAGGCCATGAACTGACCTAGTAGTTACTTACCTCAATTAACTGAAATTAATCGTATATATGTGAAGATTATTCATTTACGATTTATGCAGTTCTATTTTCTCTACAATAACTCAAACATTTTTGCTTATCGTATTCACTAAATACATTTAATTTCTCAGTATCCTTTTTAAAATAATGACATTTCGCATACATCAACTCGGTCTTAAATAAAGCGGGAAACTAGATACTGTTATGATTATTAGATTAAGATATGTCCGTTAATAAATACTTTTAACAATGTTGCGTGATTGAAATTCAATTTCAATTTAACATGAAAAGATTTTATGGGAATATACCTCTGTAATCAGTTAGCCTTTGTGTGTCACTGCTACAAATTACATTTTATCTTGTAATTTTGTCTGTGTACGTTAGTCTGGTTCAAATTTATTGTGTAAAGTCTAGCGACACTACTCGATTACTTTGAATGGAGTTCTTTTCGAACTTGGTTGAAACTCGAGTATTCTAGCCATCAAATTGATGCTTCATATCTAGAAATTTGCTTAGGATATTTTTATGATGGTTTTTGTAGTAAATATAATAAACATGATGATGTTCACCCCAAGGCATCAACACCGGAATCCAGGTATGTCCAGCTGAAGGGTCCTAAATAGGACCAAACGCGCGTTCTGGATAACATTGTTAGCCACCATCCATCTTCGCTTATAACACCAAATACTTAGGCACAAAATATTCAACCCGGATGGTATGATTTACTAATCGGAAAGCACGTTTCTTGTTTAAACAGTAATTGTTTTAATTATCGATAGAGGGGTTACCACTCACTAAGATTGACATACATTTAATTGACGTATCTATTATCTAACTTTATTGCTATTGTTTCAAAACCGCTCCCAAATGCCCTGGTACGACCGAGAGTGAGGAGAGTTCGCTCTCACAAATACTTTGTTCTTTCACTGATAGTAAGAAAAGACGAGAATGCCAAGATAATGATTTATTCGATTATTTGGGTAAAGATCAGGTTGAGAAATTATGCGCAGAATAATGGTGCAAAATAGGTTTCATTACATATCCCTCCATTACATATCAAGCCCATACAACATGGAGTTTTCTCTCCACATGGTTCACCAAAGTGTCGCCCGTGACATATCCCACGGTCACATTTGTACTCATCTTCGCAATCGTCATCTTTCCCGCAATATTCACACACTCTCCTACATTTATCTGAAAGCAAGCAACCAAAATATCACATCATTATGTGATCAAGAGCATTTCTGTTGAGCTAAACAACAACCAGTAGGTGAAAGCATGTTCTTTAATTACTAAGAAATATAAAAGTATGAATCACGCAGTCAAAATGCTGTAAGGCGATTTGAGATTACTTACATGGAGGGAAACGATATTTTTTACACTCTCTTTCAAGTGATTTGGTGGAGAGAGCTAGCAATAGAATGGCCGAGCACAAAAACAGTATATTCATGGTACTTTGTGTTCCACTGTTTTATGTCTCGAACCTTTTGTTTATATACTATTGAACAGACGACAAACCATTTATGAGAGCCACGTTCGTCAACTACTCGTCATCACATGGTTTTCCGGTAATCTGATAAAGTGTATATGCCTCGTGTTTCCACCATGTACGAAGTCAGTACACATTTAATGAGATTAGTCGGCTTTGTAGATTAAGAAGAATTTCACAACTTAAAAAATTAAGAAGTAAAGACTTTAGTAGAACAGCACGAACTAGCCTTGTCAAGTTAGGTGGTCGTCAGTTATTAACAACAAATGATACTTCAAAGAACAGAAGTGGCCCATTGAGCCACTGAAGACGAATGAAGGATGATTAACTAGAGAGATATTTCTTTTGAACTCTCTCATTTAACTTGGCTGCATAGTTCTTAAAATGAAATCACAGGCGGAGTTGAACGTCAACGCTAACATGAATCAAGGTGAATATGCTTCGGAATGGTAGGGCAATGAAGAAACTATCACTTGCATTAATTTTAGTTTTCGTTATTATGACCAAAAGCTATACCATTATGGTGACATAGTAGCATCTCGACTTTAGAGAGATGGGATGAGGAATTTCGTTTCTGGAACGCTCAAGTTGTATTGTTAACATTTAAAGTTCATTCTTATATATGACCTTATCATTAACCAGTTAGGAGTGTTATTTGAATGTTGACGAACTTAAGACTCCTATCTTACCGTAAACACCGTGTAGTTATCCAGCTACCCGAACCCTTCCAATGCCCTGATACGGCCGAGAGTGGGGAGAGTTCGCTCTCCCTCTCGAAATGCTCTCACATGGCCACGCGTGTATAAGCTCTGCCAGGGAAGTCCTGATCACTGCCTTCTCGTGGCCGGGTTGTTTTTTCACGAAATTGTGAGAGTGAGAAGCGAAACTCCGACGCTTTAACCGGTTTGGTGGACACGTGGGGTCCGCCTAGGGGAGTTGGGAAACCCTGATTCCAAACCAATGGTGCACATGGGCTCCAGTATCCTGAGAGAACAAATAGTGTATGAACCAATCGTTGGTCAGCGGCTACCATGGGACTGCATCTCCTGACGTTGCTCCACTTCCTTGTGGATCAGATCTTTAGGTTGAAGGCTCTAGGTGTAGCCCTCTAAGAAAACCACCTTCTTCGCTTTGAGCACCTGGGCAGTATCACCGCTCTCGCACAAATCATATGAGATTTATGTGGCTCATATATAGTTGGGTACCTCCTTGTACCACTATCTATGTGTTCAAATAATAATAATAATAATAATAATAATAATAATAATAATAATAATAGTTTCAAAACTGGCCACTATCAGATAAAATTTTGGATGTGTTTTTGTAGTGTATCAAAGTGTTTGTACGTAAAGGGCAACACAAATTACGTTTGATTACTTTGATTCAGAAAATAAACACTAGAAATCGGCGTAGTTCAGGTAATAATAACGCTATCTTTTTGTTAAAATAGTTCATAAAAACTTGCATTTTACTTGTGAATAGTTGTTGACAAGTGCTGTTTTTGTGATTTCAGAATTTTGAAGCCTGGAATAATTGTGCGACTGCTGTCCTGATTCAAGGAAAAAAGTACGTCTTACGTTTTAGATAATGTTCATTATACTCGACTATTAAAGCGCCCTGTGTAAATTTGGTATAGTATTCAGTTTTATGGTTTCTGTGTTTTCTGATTTCATTACAAAATGTAACATCACTTCTAATATCATTTCTAGTCGTGTATCCTGTATAAAGGTTTGATTGTATATGTAATCGTTTCTGTTACATAATAAAAAACTATTAGAGTTCCTTGTAGAATGAGTAACATTTTATGTCCTGTAATGTGTCGTGTGCTTTTGAAGCTTGTTAATGAATACCACCCATTTCACAGACTACGCATATATTTATTACAACATTTTTGCATTTCTTCATAGGAATATAGCATTAAAACTAATGAAAGAAGCTTGTAAATATAGTTACGAAAACTGGCGCATTTGGGAAAATATTCTGTTGGTGAGTTTATTGATTTTCAGTTCTAATTATATTTATTGTTGTTTTATACTACTTTTCAACCTTCTTTACTGATAAATCTTAGTATTTAATAATTGCTTTCATTAAATAGATTCAACTATTTGAGTATTTTCAGTATGTGGTTGTAGAGATTGTTGAACCAACCTAACTTGGATCACCAATAATAATCCGGATGCACTGGACGGCCGTTTCGTCCCAATATGGGGTTCCTCAGCACTGCGCGTCCGTGACCCATTACATGAAGACTGAACCCAGAATCTTCCATCTCACGCGCGAAATTTTGATCTTTAGACCGCCGACTTAGCATCCAGCGGTGTTAATGTCTAACTTCAATCAATACACGACCATCTTCCATTGTCTTTGGTGGTTAACTGCTCACACCCGACATGATTTAGCTCGATTGTTCACGGCTTCTCACTGGGACTCCCCCTCGAAGCTGATTACTAGTGCTCACATGATAATTTTCATTATGGGGTTTTGGACATTGTCGAGTCTCATTGAAATCATAAACTGATCCAAGTTGGTTGGTTGCCAGTTCAGTGGTCTGGCGGTTAGGCCTTCGTGCGTCAGCTCGGCTATCTTGAATTTGATTTCCGAGTGTGGGATCACGGATGCGCACTTCTGAGTAGTAATATATTGGGACGAAACGGCCTTCCAATGCTTCTAGGTTCTCAATGGTTGTCCAGCTTAGATCATCTAATGATCTCAATGATGTTCGTGTTGTAATCGGTTAATTAGTTTGATTTATTTAAGAAACGTGTACTTATATATTACGAAATGCAGTATCAACCTGTTTATATTGATTGATTCCAAAAGACTTTGAATTACTGATTCCACAAACTACCTAATTGTATATGGAAAACAAAATAAAGAAAGCTTATCGTATTGATTTCGTGTTAAATATTTGACTTTTAATTGTACATATATGTGTCCATTGGGACAGTTAGTCTACTCCTAATACCTTTTTCAGTTGCATGGGATGGTTGAGGGTAGTATATATTGTTTGTTTTTGGTGCTGGTTGTGCAAGAATGTTAAATTGGCTACTACTTCAGACTTGAATACAACATTGTTTCATCTATTTTCTCTTGCTTATTTGTTGAATATATAATCGTGTCGTTACCAATTTTGTTATATAATGATTGTATATTTCTTGTTCCAATTAAATTCATTAAAGATTAGTGCTGATGTAAAAGCATTTCATGAAACTATGCATGCCTATCATCGCCTATTAGATTTACAAGGAAAGTATGCGAATCCACAAGTTCTTAGTGTTATGGTTAAAGGTGTTGTTTTAAATGAAATGGATTCTACAGGAAACCCTGTAAGTAATTTACGTACCAGGCTGCTTGAATTGTTTGGTCGAGTTACAGCATCTGTAAGTTTTACACTTAGTTATGTTAGCTCAATGTATAATTTGAGCGTATGATAATATAATACATGTTCCATTTACTGTAAATCTTGTGATAATTAATTAATCATTTGATAATACATTAAGAGATTTAAGATTTTCTGAGAGTTGTGTCATTTTCTACAGTTTTCTCACAGTGAAAATACCGGGAACTGTCCCTAATAGAATGAAATGAGATGGTTACATAAAAGCAGTGTTATGAAATATTTTCACCATAAATGTTATAACTATAAACTTTCTAAAGAGAGTAAGAACAAAGGTTGGTGCAGAATAATATGAATTCATTTTATTTCGTTAGGTTCTCATCAGCTGCTTACAACCTAAAATATTTGAAATTCAACGTTATTATATATATATTATATTGTTATATTATATATATTATATATTATATATATTATATTGTTTCGAATATAGTCGAAACAAAAATTTTATGACCTCAATCACTCTAACGAAATCTTTACCACATTATGTTACATATATTCATCCTTCATCGCCCTCTGTTGTATAAGTATGTCAATATCTATAATAACGTTGAATTTCAAATATTTTAGGTTGTAAGCAGCTGATGAGAACCTAACGAAATAAAATGAATTCATATTATTCTGCACCAACCTTTGTTCTTACTCTCTTTAAAATAATAAAGGGAACTATGTGTATAAACTTTCTGTCGTGTTAGTTTTATAAAAACTAGTAGTACTACCTAGTTGTCCAAACTCTAAGCATGTGAAGAATCTTTCGAATCTTCAACCTGGTGGCCAAAAGTCAAATGCTTTGACTGTCGGAAAATTCGACTAAGATTGCCTGGAGTTGGTGTTATTCAATTAACGATGTTCGAAATTTCAAATGACGCGATAAAACTTATTTATAGTCACCACTACAAAAAATTATGGTAAATACTTATGCAATTTTCATCATAGTCATGCAAATTCTGTTGTTATTTCTTTATTCAAAAATTGTTTTATTAACCACTAGACTCCTAACGATGCTGTTATATGGAATGAATATGCACATCTTCTGGTTGATGAACTTCCTCAAATGACTTATACTACATATCAACGTGTAAGTTAGATTGATTTTCTAGAACATTTACCCTTGTTTAATATGATATACATTTTTTAGGCTGACTATCGAAATTTGAATTTCCACCCAAATTGTACAAACTGTCACTCGTTTGGTAATAATGTAAGACACTTTTTTTAGATCGTTGCTTACTTTTGAGTCAAATCATTTGTCTTTGCGAAATTAATGGTGTTGATTATGAACAACACAAATGGATGGTAGATACTGTATTAGGAATTAATTCGTATGATTTTTGTTACAACACACTAAAGAATGTAGTAATACTACTTCATAACAAAGGCTTAGTTATAGTGAAGTTGGACTGTGGCTAATGATAAAACTCATGATATCTTTTTCTTCCTATTTGGGACTTATCAGCTGGAATATACATGAATCTATTAATGTTCACACAGATTTCAATCTTTTACTATGCGTTTCCAATTCCAACTACCTAGTCTGTATGGGATGAAACCCTCATCTCGAATACCACTGGTGTCCACAGTCCAACTTCACTTTAACTTGTACTTAAAGACAATTCACTCACAATGCACATATGCCAATAGAGTCCAATCGTTAGTATCATCGACAAAAAATCCTAAAATCATACATAGTTAGTTTAAAATTATAGAGCATCATTGTTTTTATTTACCCAAACCTTTAAAAATTCTCAGTGACTGAAATCTTTCTGCCATAGATGAATGATCACAGTGACTACCTAGACCTTTAGTGATTTTTATTTTTGATTCTTATCAGTATTTTCTCTTATTCCTAGGATTCTAGAATAGAGCAAAATATGACATTATCAATGAAGTATTTTAAGTAAACATATGCTGATACGATATTAAGTTTAACTGATCACTCATGTTGTAAGACGACTAAAGTAATAATGAACTTTTACATTGTAATTAGATTTTCTTTTTTTAATGCATTACTAGGCTGTCCACTGTCTTCAAGCAGCTCATCGTTGTCGCATACAATCGAGTGAAGGACCATGGGAACAATCAACAAAGAAATGTGAAGCTATTATTGATGGTTTAAAAGCTTTACTTGATTTATTAAATAATCCTCCGAAATCGAAAAATGATAATGAATCTAACGAAGAAGATCAACTTAATACCTTCATTCAATCAACCTTGGCCACTCTTCGAATAAGCCTAAAATCTGTAATTTCTAAATTGAAGGTAAGCTTTTTTCAGCCTATATTACATAATACAGTCTATAGTATTGACTTATTGCCTACCGGTGTTTTATAAATTGCGAATTAATTTTATTCATACAGCTTTAATATGTATATGTGCATAATAAGTATTTACTTCTTTCCATAATATTCCACAAGTTTTTAAGCCTTCACTTTCATGAACTCCTAGTTCATCTGCGTTTTGCTCTTAGTCATACTTTATGCCATTCATTCTGTGTTACTTCAATTAGAATTAAAAAATACCTCCGGACCTCATTAACAGTAAAGCTTCTAGAATAGTAACATTTGTTTGTGGTTATTTCGTTACATTTCTATTTCTGCTAATGTCAATTTTAATTGTGGTTTGTAAATTCATCTCTATAAATTGAATCCTTACAGTCTATTGTTTTAATTATTTCTAGATTGCTGAAGAATCTATTCTTTCCACCGATGTTCAAGATATGATTCGTTCCTCACTTAAAGATTTAAATGAATTATTAATTGATGTTGAAAAAAAATTAAACTAAACTCTTACATTGTATATGCTTTTTTATCGACTATCGTAATATGAATAAAAGTTTGAATTCAACTGTGATTCTTTTGATTTACTAAGTTCTATGTGTATATGACTTCATAATTGCGTGGGTTTGTACATGTAGTTCTGTTGTTTGCAATGTCTGTCTAGAATTATAAATTCCCTTAATATCCTGTGGTTTCATTTATATTGTTTCTGTTAGCCTCGTGATAGTTTAAAAACGACATTAGATTTTCTTGCTGATACACTAACTGCGTCAACACCTGAACTAAGGATAGGGAGTGAAGTAGTTGAACGTGTTGACAACTTCACTTATCTTTGAAGTCTGGTCAGCCCTAATGGGTTGGTATCTGACAAAATCTCAGCACGGATTCGAAAAGCTCGCCTGGCTTTTGCCAACTTACGTCACCTGTGGCGAAGGCGAGATATCCGTCTATCAATAAAAGGACGAGTATACTGAGCGACAGTTCGTTCTGTTTTAATTTACGGCAGCGAAACATGGCCTTTAAGAGTGGAAGACACCTGTAAGCTACTAGTATTTGACCACAGATGCCTTAGAAATATTGCTGGCATCTGCTGGGATCACCGGGTAAGTAATAGTGAGGTTAGACGCAGGGTATCAGGGAATGATGGTAAATCAGTTGATGAGGTTATGAATCTTCATCGACTGAGATGGTTGGGCCACGTATTACGTATGCCTGAACACCGATTACCACGACGTGCAATGCTAACCGGTGTGGGGGATGGTTGGAAGAAAATTAGGGGAGGCCAAACCAAAACGTGGCATCAGTGCCTGAAGTCGCTAACTTCTAGTCTGAGCCATGTTGGTAGATGCAGACTACTTGGTTGGGGTCCGCGTGACTATCGTAACCAATGGTTGGAGACTGTTGTTGACATGGCTCAGAATCGATCACAATGGCGTCGGTGTATACACTCTCTGTCTTTCCTTGAACGAAGAGATTAAAATTGCTTCATATCTTTCCTTCTACTAACTAATTCTTTCTTCCTATACTATATCCTTATATGCAATCTTTCTTTTACATATTACCATCTCTGAATTAACTACTTTTATGAATCCGGTGTCCATCTTGTTGTGTTAATGAGGTATGGCAACTTGGACCGATGCATAAATGTGCCTGGTCCTACGTTGTAGCTGACTGACTGACTGACACTAAATGTTATTTGCCATATTAGCTGTATTGTTACTTACCTTTTTGAAGTTATAAGCTGACACTGAGTATATCTTTGCGTATTACTTGTTGTTTGATAATTATAGTGTATTAGGGATGCGGAAAGGAATCTATGAAAAATAGTTTTCAGCATGCACTTAACAAATATATCCGTTAACTTTGTTTAATATTGAACAACTTTTCTCAGCAGATTAAAATTACTTTGTGGATAAACTGTATTGATTGTCTAAATAATGACTTCGATATTGCAGGGCGACACAATCTAATCACTGACTTCAATTGTTTATTGCAAGTGGACGAGTGACAGACTACATATTAGCGTATAATATTGTGGTTTAAATGTGTTATTCTTCAAAAATCGGTTTCCTTAGCACGATATGATGTGGAAACTAACGTTAAACGCTAGCGATTGTTTATTGCTATGGCTTCTTCTATACTTCTTCAATTCTCTTTTTACATTTCACTGAAAACTAAAATATGTTAATTATTTGATACAGCTGATTAATCTGAATTATTAGTAGTTTTGTTGAAATAGACAACACAGAGGCATATAGTTCATTGATTTATGTGGGGAAACTTGTGCAACTTCTGATATGCTTTTAGCACCAAAATGTTATAACTAGACTGGTCTGTATCATCATGTATTGTCATCACAGAATCTACAATTGGCAAATTTGTTAACCGTTTCATCCTGTCTAGTAATTATATGTAGCTTATGTTTCAGATCATTTGAGTCTCGGTTATAGTAGACGTAGTTAGCATTCTACAATGCACAAATTATTCTAGGTATGTACAAAAAGTTGGATATATACCGTCATTAGTTTTAGCCTTATGATTTAAATATGTCTACTAATATAATACATTACCTTTTCAAAATATGACCATGATCGTCTTCATTCCATGAAACTACCGCATCTGTAATGCCCACTGATAGGTTCTTAATACGCTTATCATGGTGTCCAATGTTCATTTTTCATAATAATATGTATTGTAGCTTCACTTGATAGAGATATTCGGGTATCGAAAGTAATTATCACCTTTTTTAAACTAAGTACTATCTTATGAATCACAACAACTGCTGAATTCAAGGAGCTCCTTGCAAAATCAAGTAAGTTTAGTCAAGTCTCAAATAGTACAAAATTTATATTCCAAATTTCAATTTCATTCATTATCAAATGTTGTAAACCATATTCATTGTTGAATAAAACTAGCTTAAGGGCTTCAACGTTTGACTCTAGATACTTGATTTGATCCTCACATTCTAATTCGATCCACCATATAAATATACAACTGACGAATGTTGTGTGTATTCTCTTTTATTTATACTTGTACATTTTGTCTTTTGAAATCATTTACTCTGAGTAATTAAGCCAATTGTTATTCTTATAAATTCTGGTTAATTTATGCCTATGGAAATTACCTTTCTCGCTTTGAAAAACAAACAATTGATTCAGATTATTGTCATTATTAATACTAATATTATTATTACTACTATTATTGTCATTATTATTATTATTATCATTATTATTATTATTTTCCACATTATTCACCCTCTTTTATACTTATACAGCGGCTCGTCTTTGGTGGAAATTCGACTGTATCTAAATGTTCTCGAGTCACTGTCCGGTTGAAAATTGTATGTTACCACCGAATACGAGGACTGAAGCAGTTTTTCTGAAACCACGTGCACCATTCAAACTGGCTGCCTTCAACGTTCGCACATTTATGCAGGTCGGACAACAGATAGGGCTGGCTATGTCTTTGGAAAGTCTTAATATTGATGTTTGTTGTCTATCCGAGACCCGTATTCACGACTCTGGCGAAGTACTACAAATTCGATCTCCATCTGTCGCTTCGAAAAGCTTGTTTTACGTGCGCTTATCCGGGGACCCTGTGGCATCTTCGTCTGGTCTTGCTGGCGTTGGTGTCGCACTAAGCGCTAGAGCTGAGGCAGCACTAGTCGATTGGATCCCCATTAACAGTCGGTTATGTGCTGTTAGATTAGAAAGTTCCATCAAAGTGAGAAGAAATCGACGTGAGAAACGATGTCTTTTCGTCATCTCCGCCTATGCCCCGACAGATTGCAGCCCGGATGCAATCAAGGATGAGTTTTATCACCAGTTATCTGTTCTTCTCCAGAAAGTGCGTTCGACAGATATTGTAGTACTAGCCGGAGAATTGAATGCTCAGGTCGGGCGTCTAGGCACAGAAGAGAGTCGTTTAGGTGGCCGATGGGGACTCGTTGGTCGCAGGTCAGATAACGGGGACCGTCTACTGCAACTTTGCACAGACCACAACCTGTTTCTGGCTAGCACTAACTTTCGGCACAGTCATCGCCGATGTGCCACCTGGCGTCCTCCTTCTGCATCTCAAGCCTGGACTCAGATTGATCACATCGCGATCAGCTACCGCTGGGGTGGTTGTGTACAAGACTGCCGCTCCTTTTGGAGTACCTATCTGGACTCTGACCATGCCTTGGTCTGCGCCAATCTTGCCTTACTTTTCAGTGGCCAACGAAGTGACCACCACCAAAAGATTGATGTTAGCAAGCTGGTTGCAACTTCTGTTGCAAGTAAGTATCGAACCGAGCTAGTCTCTAGGCTAGCTACCACTCCACCGAAAAGTATAGATGAGCATTGGTTGCAATTGCATGACGCCATGAAAATGGCGGGAACAGTCAGTTGTGGGTTTGCGAAACGTCCCGCTTTTAAGCACTGGGTTTCTTCTGGTTCCTTACAACTCATTGAAGCCCGTCGGTCTACTCCGGGTGACCGTGAGTTTGACCATAAACGAAGGATATTACGTAAGGAAATCGGGCAAAGCTTGCGTAAGGACCGAGAAGCCTGGTGGTCGATGCGTGCTAATGAGCTGGAAGCAGCAGCTGCATCTGGTAACTACCGGAAGCTCTTCCAGCTCATCCGAGCCACTGGCAGCAAGAAGTCTGGTGTGAGTGAAACAATCTGCGAGGATGATGGGATGCCAATCACTAACATCCATCGACGTCTTGGACGATGGGCAGAATTTTTCGAAGGGCAGTTCAACTGGCCTGCTGCTCCGGCAACATCGGTCAGACTGTCCTGCCCTCCATGGCCGGTGACGACTGATCCACCAAATGAGGCGGAAGTCCGCAAGGAACTCCAACTCTTGAAGCGTTACAAATCACCTGGCCTAGATGACTTACCTCCGGCTCTTTTTAAAGATGAAGGTGACTTTTTGACTAAGGAATTGACGACGTTGTTTACAAAGGTTTGGGAACTAGAGAGTGTACCAACGTCATGGAATGAGTCGATAGTTGTCCCTATCTTTAAAAAGGGTTCACGTCGTTCCCGTAACAACTATCGGGGGATAAGTTTACTTCCGATTGCGTCCAAGCTATTGGCTTCCGTCATTCTTCGTAGGTTGTTCAAAACCCGAGAAAGATTGACTCGCGAGGAGCAGGCTGGGTTTCGTTCTGGTAGAGGATGTATTGATCATATCTTCACCCTCCGCCAAATGTTAGAACACCGCCATACTTTTCAAAGGCCAACAATCGTTGTGTTTCTTGACATCAGGGCTGCCTTCGATTCGTTGGATAGGACTGTTCTCTGGGATTGTCTATTGAAGAAGGGTGTGCCTGAGAAGTTTATTAACATCCTAAAAGCCCTATATAAAAACACCTCAGGCAGAGTGAGGGCATACAACCACCTCTCTCCATTGTTCCATTCGAGCAGTGGGGTTAGGCAGGGCTGCCCAATATCACCATTCCTCTTCAACTTTTCCATCGATGACATTCTGGAAACAGCTCTGATGAATGTAAGTAATGGTGGTGTGGATCTGTTGCCTGGAGAAAGACTTCTCGACCTTGAGTATGCGGACGATATTG